TATATAAACTTTGTAAGTATTATTGTTCAAAACTTAAATTTTAGACAATGACATAACCTTCACGAAGAGATAACTACTCATGGTTGTACTTTATTATTATTTAGAAGTGACTAAATCTAATGCGACCACACGCATGAAAGAAAGCCTGCCAGACACAAATACAGCAAACACATTTAAAATGTAAATGATAAAATAAATAGGTTGTGTTACTGTTAAGGCCCAGAAAGTCAAATGTTCATGAAGTTCAGCATAAAAGAAAAGAAACCTCACAGATTAAAAATACGTCAATATGATGATGTGCTTGTTGAAGGTTGTTTATAGGGTTAGCTGGCGTACCGATAACTACACGAGAACTGTGTAGTCTCACACATAAGGCTTCTCAACTTGAATAACTTAAGTTACCRGGTATTATAATGACACCGACCTCTGGTAGTTCCGTTTGACCGGTCTGCTGTGGTTCTGCTCCTGCCGTCGAGCTGAGGCTTTCACGCCAGGTCGCGTGAATCCCTCCTCGCCACAGTTTCCTTCACCGGACCACTCTGTGGATTTTTGCCCCGCAACGGGCTCAAACAGCGACGAGATTCCGTCAACTATCCATCCATACATCCCAGACACATACGAGAAAACTGTAAGGAGGCCTTCCGCACGGGCCAGGACTATTTCTCTGGAGATAAACACCCGAACAACGACCTACGACACAAATGTCTACCATTACTTTAGCTTAGCAGTAGCATCGTGTGTTTTTGAAACGTWAAGGGAAGTGCGTCACTACGTGCGCTGCCTAACGCGGCGCGCATGTTACGGGTACCGGTGGAAAACGGTTGGGCGGAGTTTCACAGCACAGCGATACAGACCCGTGAACCTGATGGACCAAGCACAGGCCGGTAGCTTCCGTTTGTATAAACAAACACAMGGAGAAGGTAAACACTGTCAGCTTGTTCAGGCTCTGATTGGCTGTCKCTGTCCTGCTAAAATGGTTATTTCTTACATAACCAATCCCCAGAAACACACAGACAACTTAATTAAAAGCAAATAAATTTTGTGATTTGTGATGAAAATCCACGGTGGTAAAAAATTTTTTTTTGTTTGAGAACATTTTGTTTTTAAACATTTGTTTGTTTTTTCAATCTGCATGTAATTATTAAAGCAAAAATAGGTATACACGTTCCTTCCTGCCCTGGTACCACTTCCACATTAAAGTGAAAATTTTAATAAGCACGTAATTTTTATACTGTTCAAAATATAATAAAATTCAGTTTAATCATGCTGTAGATTATGCCTTTAAATCAGTAATGTATTTCATAAACTTCACACAACTGATTAGAATGGACTCAAAAAGAATACTGATTTGAATAAACATTTTAGATTTCATTCATAATTTCCCAGCAGCACATTCATCATCATCCACCTGAGCCACAGAGCTCTGTCCCTACCTGCTGACCTTGACTCTCATCAGCTCCTGCATCACATGAAGATAGATTAAGCATTAGTTTTTTTTATTGCCAGCTGAAGTCAGTCAGCCTTAAAAAGTCAGAAATAAGATCAATAAATAACAGATTTGGTCTGGTTTCATCAGTGATTGTGAGTCAACAGTCTCATCATCTGATGATTAAAGTTTTCAGACATGAACCAAGCTGTTTTATGCTGAAACTATTCAAAGATAATAAAAAAACTACTCTCACAATACGTTAGAATGCAATCATTTTATACTTTAATAAAAACACTCAATAATCTTCTGATTTGATTATTTTGGTCCTGCTGATAATAATATCACCAGCTGATCACTCTGTACTTTAGCAGATGCTGTAAATTACAGCAATAACTGGTGGGGATATGTAAGCTAGCTGTAGCCAGCAGCTAACTGCATTAACTTTACACAGGATAAATCTGTCCTGTGGAGAGTTTAACTTACTTTCTTTTTCTCTGTAAAACATCTCCTAATGTTGTGTGTGTCTGGAGGGATACAATCACACACGCTGCCTTGTAGAAGCAGCTAGAAGTTAGTTTTAGGTTGAATATTTGCGCTCCAGGAATTCACCGTCATCTTCCTCTCAACTAAGGAAGTCCGACACCGGTCATCTATCCTCTGGCAGCTCGCTCATACCTGGTACCTGCAGGCTGCGGTGCTGACTGGAGGTAACCAGGAAAACCCAGAGCGGACTTTTAGTGGGGTGAGTTTTCTCCTATCAAGCAGAATGGATTCTTTCATTAAGTCACCTAACAGGTGAACTGATGAGATGAATGTGGAGGGGTCCAAACGG